ATCAATTTCTTCTTCTAAAACCGTGACAAAAGATGAATTATCTTTCTTTTCTTTTTCTGGTTTGGGCAATCTTTTGCAAAGTGTCCTTGCTTTCCACAAACATAGCATCTATCTCCTTTCTTGTGTCCTCTGAATCTTGATCTACGAAGATATTTGAATCTTTTGAATTTCTTCTTTTTCCTCTTTTGCGTCAAACTTCTTTTTTCGTTTCGAGGCAGGTGGACATGAACACTGTTTTTCTGTATCACATTTAATCTTGAGATATGGTTTATCACAAGATTTTCCCAGCAAATACTTATTTTTTTCCATTTGTTTCACAAATTCAACTTGGTTGCAGAGTCTTTCCAGAGCATGGAGAACAAACTGATATAATTCACCAAAACTGGTGTTTTGAATAGTAAGTCCTTGATTTTCCATTGTCTTTGTTGCTTCTTTACGAAGAGTAGGAGGTATGGATTCAAGATAAAATTGTTTCAAATTGATATCATCAATTCCTCCTATTTTATGGTATCTTTTGTTCATTTCTGAAAAATGTTTTTCAAGATCTTGTCTCTTGAAAGAACAATATTTAAGCTGAAAAAATTCTTCTCTGGCAGCAATTTGTTCATGTTTAACAGGGCCCGAGAATTCAGAGACTAAATAATTAAGGAATTCAACAATGGACTGACTATTTCTAAGCTGTTATGCACATCTCTATTGGTATCAGAGCCTTGTTACTGAGATTATTTCCAATATTTACTTTGTTGACTGGGTTAATCTGCAGTTCATACTGAGACTAGTATGCTCTGCGTCTGCCTAGTTGATCTAGGATCTCTCGCATCAAAAAACATAATATGAATTAAAGGTTAATTTCTAGTGTTGATGTTATTCCACTGTCAATACTTTCTGAAAGTTTACATTTCATGGAAGAAAAGATATGGATGCAATTTCTTGAATTGCTTTGTTAAATTCCAGATTTTTAGAATACCAGCATGCCTGTATCGGAACTGTGCAAACAACCTTAAACACTGACACCATATTTGTTACCTTTTTCCCAAACTTTAATATCCCAATCAAAGACCCTCATTTGAGTTCTGCTTTCAAAGTCCAATTACAAGTTACAAGAACCAAGCAAATTGAAACAGCCACTGTAGCTACACTCCATTATCAAATGGTATATAGATTACAGAACCATGCTTTTGATATAGTTACCCCTTTACTTCCTGAACATGAAAATACTGCCTTTGTTCATCAAAGTTGACAATAATTCCCAACTTGTCTGTCATTACATACCTAGACAAATATCTCGAGAACGGTTGCTTGAATGGATTCCATCCACATGGGTAACAAAATGAATATGCATATACCCATCTTTAAGCCATTGGGAAAATAGGTTTCTGGGCAAAGTAATAGTGATGTATTGTTCAGCTTGGGTAGCAGGAATTTGGTGTTGATCAAAAGAGGAGGCTTGAACATATTCTTTGATGGCTTCAGGGTTCTTTTTTCCACAAAGCTTTTTAATTCTTTTGGTCCAATTTAAGCTAGATTTATCATAAATATGATAAGGGTTAATTAATTGAGAACTAGTTTTAGAAAACTTTTCAGGGGTACAGGTTATTTCAAAAAGATGTTCTTGTTTAGAAAACATGGGACCTAAATCTGGACTAGAAGAAGAAACACTATCTAAAGAGATATCTGAGACACTTTCTTCGACCATATTGAAATAATCTACTGTGTTGACTGTGAATTTTTGAAATAAAGGTTAAGGCCAACTTTCCTTTTCTAGTTAACAAGATATGAACTCCTTTCACGGCCTTTTTGTCTCACACATCTGACAGGACATACTTTCCTTGTTGAAATGGACTTATCTGCTTTTCCAAATATGCTGAAATTCAAAGATAAGATTCTTCCGAATCCTCAATTACTTAGATGGGCAAATTGGTTCTCTCAATGGAATTTTGAGTATAAGCATATTTCTGGAAAAAACAATATTTTGGCAGATATGTTTCTCGAAGAAAATTTTCTAAAGAAACAAGTCTCACAGTTGTTCCTTTCATAGGAGCAATAATCAGAATCGAGGAAGAAACAAAAGATGTTTCTGATGAAATATCACCTTCAGGTGGAACGTCCTTGACCCGGCCCTCGGGCCACATTTTATGGCTCAGGCCCTAGTTTTATGATTTTTATACTATCCAACCTTCTATTCTATACACAGAATCCATTCACCAAACAATCATCGTACAAAAATACAATATCCATCTTTTTCATTCTCTTTCTTATAATGGACAGATGATCTCAACACTAACATGTTTAGAAAATCCATCTCCTTTTTTTATTTTTATCTTTAACAACTATTTATGAATGATATCATCAATTAATTCATTTTATCCATCAATTAATTGTTACAGACAAGAATAGTAGAGTTGTATGCTTGTTCCCTTTTCTCAAAAGTGTTTATGTACATGTTCTTGTATTGTACTTTTCAAATAGTAAATTAATTTGCTTGCAATTTCAAAGACAGAACTGTCCATGTGTCCTATATGCCATCTCCATTTACTAGTCTGAAGGGTAGAACTTGGATGTACCTTTTTGTTCTTATCAACTGTCCATCGCACTTGTAGTCATGTCATTTCATTTGAAGCTCCAAAGGTGGAAGAATCTCAATGTTAAATTATAGCACCTTTCAATTTCTTTGTTGTCAAGAATGTATATTAAGCACAACAATTTCATTAATTCTCCTAACAACAGTATAAAGGAGTGCATAATCTACACAAAAATTGTTTTAAGTTTGTCATTTGTGTGTGTCTACACACACACACAAACACACACATACATGCACACACGCTCTGGGCTCTAAAGCTCCTAAAATGCCTACAAGCATTTGTATGAGCGAAGTTTTGTAGATGATCCATAATTGTGCCAATGAATAAGACCATGAAAAATCCAAAAAAAAAAAACCCTTAGAAAATGGTTTTCTTAGAAAGAGAAAATAAAATGAACACAAGCTGTCTATTTTAGGAAAGGAAAGAAAGGTGTTAGATCAAGCCCTTATATGGATTTGTTTGACACCGAAATTTGTGGTTGTCCTCATCATCACTAGATGAGCATTTATTTAAGAGAAAAAAAATATAACTTTTAGTTTTTGGAGGCATAGATCTAAAATGGAAGGTGGTGTTCGCTGAATTATCTCTCTGCTAGAGAAACCTATTTCTAGCTTTCTTCATTTTCCTTTTTGAGATTGTTTGCTGGGATCAGGAGTGTATCTGCAACATGAGCTAATTCTGTAGACATTAGCTCATGGGAGTGTGCAACCTTTCCTTATGCGCACGTGTGGGCACATACACACATATACATATATTAATTTTCCAAGGATGGAGAGAATGAGAAATATGACCTGTGAACAAGAGCTAGGAATGTCTAGCGTTAATCTTTACTTGTGGTAATCAAGCAGCTATCATGGTTACTGAAGTTCTTGGAAAGAATCAGTTGAATGACACATTGGAAAGCTAGGCATGTTAGACATCCACACTCTAGTCTGAGTGGGAATGGGGAGTGTGTTTTTCTTTAACATGTGTATGTATATATTTTTGTATGATACCTGATGTCAAATATAGAACTCAATAAAATGAGAATGACCCGTGGAGACCACAAACTTCCTCTCATTATTTTCCCTTAAAAAGGGATGTTCACTACCATTGGTGCTCAGCTCATCTCATAAATACCACTCCTGTTTTATTAATCAAATTCAATAAACACTGGGTCAACCCTTCCATTGAAACCACTGAAGCATTCCCTCATCTCTGTTTACTGGTGATGCAGTGATAACACTTAATATATACTCGAATCCTAACGTACATCCATGCACCCTCATTATGCACATGGTTGTGCAATCCACATAACTCTGAATGAAAGTAACACAAGCGAATCGAACCTATGATAAGGCTTACTAATCAGGAACACAATAACTAGGAATCCTCAAGCCAAAAATGAGTTAAATACATGCACCCGCACTTAACTGCAGTTAGACCTCATACATGGGAAGTATATATGTTTGTGAATGATGCCTTGTCACCCAAGAAAGTCAATCCATGAGAGTATGCAAATCTAAAAGTCAATTTGAGCATTGCAATTCTCTAAATGAAAAATAAGAGAGTCAAGCTTTGATTTGTGAACTCAACAAATCATGGAGCCTATGTGACAACCACAGAAACAGTCCAAAAGACTTGTCCCATATGGAGGCACCAGTACATTGATTTGTTAAACCACATTGATTTTCCATTAACAATTTCATGCACCAATTAGTGGCATAGAAGTGTAGATTATTCAATAATTGTCTGATAACACTAGGTGAAGTTTGTCTATCATGATCAATCAGTACTTCACAGGTCACATTATGCTTAATGATTCAATGTTTCAGAATTTCCTTTAAGTACTTCACATTTATCATCACCGCACAACATTTCTGCAAAGTATCTATGGTCCATATAGTACAAAACTAAATGTAGTTTTCAGCAATTGACAATCTTAACCTCTTTTTGTTCAGTCATATCTGATTTATTGACCACTTCATTTTCATCCACCAAATAGTGTCCTTGCATAAGTCCCTTTTGGACCCTGTTTTGCAACATAATTTCAAATATAAACCCTCATTTTCATCCAGCAAGGTCCCTGGGGTTTCAGATTTGTACATTTTCCAGTCAGAGAAAAGTTACAGAACCACTTAAGTCCAGGAGAAAGCATTCTAAGAAGTAGCAATGCCATATACTAGCTGCTCAAATTTCCTAGCCAGTACTCCTTAATATAATAAAACATCCTAACAGCGTCGCTAGCAGCCATTATCGGCAACCAATCTTCTTCCAAACAAAAAAATTATGGATGAGAAGCAAGTGTCATAAACAACTAACCCATAAATATAGAAAAGAACAACATGGAATATTTTCCCAAATAAACATACATTGAAAGCTCCTAGGATAGCACGTTTAATAATCAACATCACCCAAAAGTTCTACGAGGATGCATACCTGTATTGTTCAGGATCTTCCTTCAGTGCTTCTACGTAAGCTTTGAAAATGGCATCACGGTCTTCATTACTTGGAAAACCCTCCATGAGCTGATCATAAACAGTGACAAAACCAAGAGCCAATATAGCATCATACTGATAAGTCCTCTTGTATCTCAAGAGATGTTGCTGAACAATGAGTTCTTGCAATACAGTATTGTATATGCTAGGAATAGGACGCTTGTAGGATCTCAAAAAATTGCCCTTTGTTTCAGCAACAGTAGGCACATCTAGAAACATCAACCGTAAATAACAGAACAGGTCAGTTCTCCCATCATCAATATTTTATAACTATAAATCTGATTGAAGTGTGATCATGAAATATAGGTAAGACAAATCATCAAAATCAAAATTGGTTATTTGTCCAGATTATCAGGAAAGGAAATAAATAAGCACGGTTAATATCATTCAATATTGGTATTGAACATATGACAATTGAGTAAACACGCTTAGCTACAGAGCACACCACTAGAATGATATATCGTGTTAGTGGATTACTAAGCTAAGATAGGCAAAAGATGTAGTAATCTAGTAAAGCTTCAAGCTTCTAACATTTGGAATCAATCACAAAAGTAAATTCATATTCCAAGAGGTAGATATGCTATATATATCTACACTAAGCCTTGGACCATGTGGTCAGGGTGATGCGGCAACAACATGACATCAAGGGTTCCATTTCCAACTGGCTAACATGGCAAAGAAGAATAAAAAAAAGAATCTAATTACAGCATGCTTTTCATCAAGCCAGCCTTCACTTGACACTATTGAGTTCCTTAGTGATAAAGGGATAATGAAGGAGATCTTCTAAGAGACCATACAATTAACAATTGTTGACTACAAATATCTAACCTCACTAGACAAACCATCACCTCTGTTAATTATCGAAACCAGTTCTTGTAGTAGACCGGAACCTAATAAGTATTGCGTCGATTGAAGTGACTCTTTTTCAGGTAAATTATCAAAGGATGTATTAATGATGGGTTGCATTTCATCATTAGTTCTGGATAGTTCTGGATTAAAAATTTAACCTTACATACATGTCAGGGTTTACCAATTTTCCAAATGATACCCACTCATGGCCAGGATTAAGTGCTCATAAGTGAGATCAGTTGATATCATGAAATGGGCACAAGCAAAATTGCATCTCTTGCTATAACTACAAAGAGAAAACTATGTTGTGACGTATCAAAAAAAAGAAACAACATGGGCCTATGTTTTATTTATTTTAGATATGATATATAGTTATTGTTGGTTTAAGAAATGTGAGAACCTTAAACTTTCCCTTACCCTGTTCCATGCCTGGGTAAAAGAGCTGGGTTATGTTAGGTAGGAAGCCAACATAAAACTTTACCAAAACTTATCATAAATCTTGAACCTATAGTATTTGCTTATGCTAGGGTGTTCCCTAGAAACCACGCAATGTACCGGAACCTGGGTACAATGAGAAATGAGCAACGGTTAGCTAAAGCGTTCCCCAGAAGCAACGTGCCGCAGCGGCGTCCGATTGGGTGAAAAATCGGCAAAGATTCCTACCATTTTGGATGAGCACAGGTAAAGAAGCTAGTCCAAGAGAAAAAGATTTGTCTAGCCACATGGAATGTAGGAATGCTTACATGTAAGAGTATGGAGTTAGCAGATACAATGACAAGAAAGAGAAAAAACACAACTTGTCTATAAGAAACTAAATGGAAATGAAAAACAACTAAAGAAATAGATGTGCATAAAATTTGATATAAAGGATAATAATAGAAATAGTGTAAGCATAACAGTAGACAAAGATTTAAAAGATAAAGTAGTTAATGTCAAGAGAATAGGTGATAGGATCCTATTAATTAAACTTGTATTAGGAGAAAAGATAATTAACGTAATTAGTGCTTATGCACCACAAGTAAGATTAGAGGACAGAATTAAGAGAATTTTGGGAGGATTGAGGACATGGATAGAATAGTCCAAGAGTTGCCAAGAGAAAGAGGACCTCTTAAATGGTCATGTAGGGAAGGATAGTAGAAGATATTAGGTGATATGGGTTTGGTGAAAGAAATGAGATGGGGGAGGCTATTCTGGATATTTCTATGGCCTTCGACTTACAATAGCAAACACTTACTCTAAAAAGCGAGATGAACATTAAATAACCGATAAAAGTGGATCACATAAAAACCAGATAGACTTATTCCCAATTAAGAAGGTAGATCGACCATCATGGAAAGACTGTAAGTTTATCCCTGAAGAGAATTTGACAACCCAACATAGGCTCGTGGTTATGGACGTCTGCATAGAGACATGGAAGAGAAGACGTGAAATTAATAAGTGTCCAAGAATTAGGTGGAGGAATTTAAAAAATGTGAAATTAGACTTATTTGGGGACAATGAACAAAAAGCCAGCTGCTTAGCCACCTAAGCGGACGTTTTGGGAAAATGCCTAGGCACAGTCGAGGTGGACACTATTAGACGGAATAAGCAAAGCGCCCACCTGGGCAGTGTAAATGGCAAGCAACTCAGCTTTGCCTAAAACTTGGCAGAAAAAAATCCAGGAGAGCGCAAGAATGTAATTTTACCCCCCTTAAAAGGGGGGATAAGGGTTTGGGGCGCCATTCTTGCCCCCCAAAACAATTTTAGTGAAAACTTTTGAGTGAGAAACAACTTGAAAAAACCTAGATTAGAAGACTTTTTGAGAGATCGATTTTTTTTTCAAAATCCTCGAATGTTCACAATGTTTTTCAAAATCCTCGATTATAATTGTTTTATTTACAGTCTAAAATCATAAATGTTTATGTTTGATCAGTGCTTCTAGCTTCCGACATCTTAACAATATATTATATACAAAGCTAACTTATTAAATAAAAAAGCAGACAATTCTACATACAAATAAATGGGGGGAGGTTTGGGGGATCCAAAATTTTTTTTAAAAAAAACAAAAAAAAGCACCGGCGGCCTTTGGGTCTAGGCGCCTGCCTAGGCGGCCCAGACCCCTCACCGCCTAGATGGCTGCCTTCGCCTTCTTGAACATTGTTCGGAGATAAATTAGTTAAAGAAGGAAAATGGAACTTTGAACATGAGGTCAATGTTATGTGGAATAAGATGGCTAACTGTATTAAGAAAGTGGCAGAAGAAGTTTTAGGAGAATCTAGAGGGAAAAACAATTCCAATAAGGAAACTTAGTAGTGAAGTGATGAGGTTTAGAAGGCCATTAGCGAAAAACGATCATGCTATAAAACTTGGCAGTGTAATAGAAATAATCAAAACGTAGAAGAATATAAAAATGCTAATAAAGACGCTATAATGATTAGTAAGTAAGGCTAAACTTAAGGCATATGATAACCTATACAATAAACCGGGAACAAAAAAAGGTGAAAAAAGTTGTCTTCAAATTAGCAACAATGAGACAGAAAAAGTATAGGGATCTAACCATATTAAATGCATTAAGAGTAAGGATCAAATGGTTTTGGTGAAGGATGACGAGGTCAACAAAAGGTGGAGAGTTTATTTTTAAAAATTATTAAATGACGAACACAATGAGAACATAGTAGTAGAAGGAACCTTTGGCATAAATGAAAGCGAAGGTCATAGATACATAAATAGGATTAGGATATCATAGGTATAAAAAGCTTTGAAAAGGATGAAGATAGGAAAGGCTCTAGGAAAAGATGGTATCCCGATAGAGGTTTAAAAATGCATGGAGGAGATTGGCATTGACTAGCTGCCCAAGCTATTCAACAAGGTGTTGAGAACAAAAAAAATATCAGACGAATGGAGGAAAAGTATTATGGTACCTATTTATAAGAACAAATGAGACATACATAATTGTGTAAATTATCGAGCGATCAAACTTATGAGCCACACTATGAAACTCTGAGAGAGATTGATTGAGCAACAACTAAGGCATGAAACAAGAATATTAGAAAACCAATTCAGTTTTATGCCAGGAAGCGTTAACAATTGAGGCCATTTTCTTACTTAAGCAACTGATTGAAAAGTTTAAGGCGAAGGAAAAAGCCCTCCACATGGTCTTTATTGATCTAGAAAAAACTTATGATAGAGTTTCTTGAGATTTGATTTGACGGGTGTTAGAAAAAAAGAGTCTTCAGATAGTACATCAACTTGGTGAGAGATATGTACAATGGGGCGCTAACTAGTATACGAACAACTAGTAGAGAGACGAGTGAGTTTTTAGTGACAATAGGTCTATATTAGGGGTTAGCATTGAGCCCATACCTCGGTCTTAGTTATGAACGACTTAACTAGGCACCTACAAGATGAGGTATCGTGATGCATGTTGTTTGTAGATGACATAGTTTTGATCGATAAAAGACATCAACACAAAATTAGAACTTTGGAGGGATGCTCTAGAATCTAAGGGTTTTAAAATCAGCCGTTCTAAGACAAAGTATATGGAATGAAAATTTAATAATAATAGGAGTAGAGATGAGGAAGGAGTTAAGATTTACGACCAGTAAATATCAAAAGAGAGCACTTTCGATATCTTGCGATGATAATCAAGGAAATGGAAAGATTGAGGAACATGTCGCATATACAATTAGATATGGGTGTGAGAAATGGAGATGTACAACCGGATTTATATGTGATCGCCGCATGCCAATAAAGTTGATGGGCAGGTTCTATAGGACAGTTGTGAGACCACCTTTGCTCTATGGAGTGGAATGTTAGGCGTTCAAAAAATAATATACTCATAAAATGAATGTAGTAGAGCTAAGGATGTTGAGATGGATGGGTGGCAAGACAAGAAGGGATAGAATTCGAAATGAATAAATTTGAAAAATTTGATGTGTGACACCAATAGGCGATAAGACGAAAGTGGATAGACTTAGGTGTGCTGGCCATATGTGGCATAGCCCCAATACAACACCTATTTGGAGTTACAGGTTAGTTCAAGTGGAAGGCTCACAAGGGGCAAGGGGTAGGCCCGGAAGGATAAATATGGGGACTTATGGCCTCATTGGGGGTATGACCCCTAAGGCAGAACGGCAAATCAGGATTCGTCTAGCCAACTAGTTGGGAAAAGGCTTTGATGAGGATGACGATGTATAATTTTGTTATACATAGCATGCATATCATAATAAATGAAAAATCAAAGTCAATTTCCATAAATTTTGACATAGAAGACAAATAGACCCACTCTATCAAGGTTTCTAAATTTCAACTTCGCTGTAAAACTACCAGTTCAGGATCACAAGTTTCGTTGCAATTCGAGAATAATGTCCGATGGTTTCTTTCCTTTTCCATTTTTCCAGAAAAGGAAATTCCCAAGAAATAATTATTCAGCATGCTCACGATTCCAATTCCCACTATAGTCAGTAAATTATCAGTCATGGTACCACTCAACTGTACTACTGTAGTTGAAGCACGGGGAATGGCGCCCTATAGAACCCTAAAACAATACACTTACAGTGGAGCCCTAGTTCCCCTAAGCAGTAAGTAAGCAGCACCGAACCAGTAAAGAGGAAACCAAGAAATGACAAATTGAGGCTAAATCACAGCAATATCGGCAAAACTCACCAGTTGCAGAGCTGACACAGCGAATAATCGAAGGAGAGTAGGAGGCGATGGAGCGAGCATTGACGAGGTAGGAGCCATTGGTGGATCGCAGGCGAAAGGGTTCAATGTTGAAGAGATTGTTAGAGAGAGTGGGGCGACATAATCCCTTCCTTTCAGAGGCCGGAGTGGCCGCAGCGAAAGAGAGAGAAGAAATGGCAGCCATTATTCATACAGCAAAAGCAATGAAGAAAAGAAGATGCAGAAAAATAGAGAGAGAGGGAGAGAAGTGTTTCGATAAGAGAGAAGAGAGAGAAGTAGTTATCTTTTTGCGTTTTATAAACTTTCAAAGGACTTGTTTTCTCAACGGATCAAGACGAGAGAGAAAAGCTTATCAACGGATCAAGACGAGAGAGAAAAGCTTATCCAATGTGTACGGTACAAAGAGTGATCACACCGTCGCCTCTGAACCAGTAGCATTTTGACACGTTGCAGCCTAAGTGGGTCCGCTGTTGATCCATATAATCAGCGCAACTAATTCTTCTGTGTAAATTGACATTACTTTGTGGCTGTTCGATTTATAGAGGAACGGTTATGATGTGTCGCTCCTCCTTTCAAAGTCTAGACAATTGCCGCTGTAACGGTGGTTTTAGTGTGAGCAGCCAAGGAATGGGGCGCCCTAGCCGCCGGGTTTAACATCTGACGGCTTGAGTGATATTCATTTTCCATTATAACTTTAATTTCTCTAGTTGTGCACATTTTCCATTTATAAAAGGCTTGATGATATACAATACAAGGCAGTTTATATCTTAGAGTTTGCTTCCGATTTCCATAAATGGAGCCAATGGGTGCAAGGTTAGGTGGTTAGGGAGGCAGATGCCACAACTTAACGTTTGAAATTTTATTTCAACGGCTCGCAAGGGTTCCTGTCCCTATTGAATTACCGAAAAAAAAAAAGAAAAAGTGGATGCCTGCAATGAGAGCAAGGAACGTTTGGGATGTGTTGTTCTTTGTTAAAAAAAATACAAGATTTGATGAGTAATGCAGAACACTACAATTGGAACTGTGTCTTGCTCGCATCAAATTGACTAGGGAGTTTCTAGTGAAATGCAAGAAACCTGCCTAATTGCATTCAACACTTTCTTTTTTTACAAATTAACCTGTTTTTTTTTTCAAACTACCAAATTTAGATAAAGTTTTTTTTGTTAATATATTTTTAAAGAGCCTGAATTATTTTACAAAATTACTAAAGGGCTCAAAAGATCTCATAAATGGAGGTTTTACTTTTTAGAATTCATTTAGTAATTACTTTCCCAAGAAAAAATGTTTTAAAATTCACAAATTACTTTTTTCCAAAGTTAATAACTAGGGCATTTGGTATGCATACTTATAAAAATATCCTTGGTTATTCAGAATTATGAAAGGGAACTACATAATTGTTAAAACATACTCTCATTGTTTGCAATATGGCACCAAGGGCATTTTTCTGACATGGTAATTTTGCGTTCCCAATCCTGAACAATCAATGATATATTTATATTTTAACTTGAGCTACTTAAATAGGTTAAATTACCCTAAGTTGTTTATAATTCTCAACCCTGGATAAGAATAAGAATAAGAATAAGAATAAGAATAAAAATAATATGGGAAATTTTGAACAAATTTTTTGAGGAGATATCTTTACGAACTAAGACGTAAGCAGTGAACCTTGCAGTGGTAAATGTGATCTTTTGCGCCCTTTAATGATTTTGTAAGATAGCTTTCACTCTTTCATCATATTTTCCTTTTCAACATATTGGGGAATATATAATAGGATTAAATAATAATATAACCTAGGTTATCACTCGTATCCCTAGCTTGCTAAAGGGCAATCATCCCGACCATCCATTTGACTCTGTTGTTTTCCTTTTAGACGAGGATTTCAAAATCTGAACAAGATAGTTACATGTCTAATTTAAACGGGCTAAAGGGGGGTGGTGAGGTTTGTATAAGGTTGTCTCCTTATATTGTAGAAGTCAGGTGCATCTATAAAATTTACTTAGAGATATCGTTTCAACGTCGAAAATTTTATGATCGTTTAAAAATCTTTTTTTATTTTCAATTAAAAAATTTAAAATTTTAAAAATGGTACAAATCGAGCAGTTCAATAAACACTTAAAAATCTTGAAAAACAGACAATTCATATGACTTTTTACAAGATATACTATTTTTTAACTTGGAAATTTTTTTTTTCTTAATGTTCATTCATCTCAAGGTCGAGATGATCAGTTGAAGGGTTCTCCTATGTAGAAACACTCTCCACTGTAGGATTTTTGAGATGCACCTTACCTCAACAGTATAAGGTTGCAACCTTATACAAACTTTTTCCCTAAAAGGGAGGACATGAATAAAACTACTATATAGTTTAGTTTTCTTTTATAGAAATGGGATTCTATATTTAATCTAGGCGATTTGTAATCAATAACAATGGTCATGAGATGAACCGTTTTTCCCCCTTGAAAGCTGAATAATGGAGGAAATGATTCATCTCAAGCATAAGTTGAAAGTTACCATTTTGCAATAAAGGTTAAGTGCTATTGTCAAAAAAAAAAAAACAAAAACAAACATAAGCTGAAATTCAATGGCTAAATTGAGATCAATGAAAATGTCACTAAAATGGCCAAATTACATTTTACCATCATTAAAGTGATCAAATCAACCAATCAAACATTGGAGGGCTTACTATAAAGAATTAATTTCACTTTTGATAACTCATCAAAAATTTATTTGGAAAAGCCCAAATTGTTCTTGATTAACATTTATAACTTTAAACAAGTAGGGATATTTTTATATGTGGATATTTCTACTTGTTTAGAGTTAGTAACTCGAGAAAAGGACTTCCAAGTGAAAAGGAAAATTCCAAGTTATGATGTTCGAACAAGCGGGGGTAATTCCAAGCTCTAAAATTCGAACAAGACGGGGTAGTTCAATCTAAACAATAAAACTATCGCTGAATGTTCAGAATCAATAACACAAAATAATTATTTCAAGTGAGAAAAATGGGACGACAATTTTCTGCCCCTAAAAAAGCCATGTATAGCTATCAATTTTCTTGTGACACTCAAGTATTACCTATCAATGTTTAGGGCTAGCGACCAAAAACAAGCATATCCAATGAAAAAAAGAAAAAAGAAAAAGAGTTTCGAGTTCCTAAGCTTGAATAACTAAAGGTAAATTGGTCATTTGGCTCATGCGGCCTTCACTAAGTTATATAATGCAAATTCTCCTACTTATTCCGTTTTAGGAACCTTGAACAAGATATTTTATTATAAAAAACATGTCCTAGATTTAAAAAATTGAAACAAGCAGGGGCATTCATATCATATGGCTTGGGCTACTTAAGGATGGAATACTACCAAAATCACCCTTTTGTTTTAGCATCCAAAATTCTAAATCAGGTCAACTTAGATATTTTTAAATATTTTCTTAAAGGCCTCGTAGAATAACTACCACATTGGACGATTTGACCACGTTAATAGTTTTATGAGATAATTTTACTATTCAAGAGATAATCTCCACAAAATATACTCATTCTATTTTGAATCTTGAGATAATGTAAAATCTATTTTCATTTAGTTGAGTGCAATTACTGAAGGCTGTAGCTTTAAGGTATTGTAAGTGATATCAGCCACTTTACTATAACTGTGAAACTATTCATTTTGCAATAGGGTTAATTTAGTAAGATATTTTGGATTTTAGTATAGACTTATTTGTCATATTTTCACCTCAATATGGCATGAGCCATATGGAAAATGATGCCACCTGTGCGCATTATTTCATGCTCGGCCATTGCCTATAGAATTGTGTATGAACTAGGAAACAACCAGGATGAGTGGCCAGAAAAAAAATCCAATAAAAAACTTATTTCTTTGTCTAATAATATAAGGTGAGGTTTCTATAGTGCCTAGGCTGTAAACAATCAAATTAGAGCCTACCTTCAAATAGTGTGGAGAAATGAGGTTTCAATACTAAAAATATTTGTGATAGCCTTAAAATATATTTTCATCTTTATTTATAAAGTTTAAAGCTTCAAATATAGTGTAGATCAATAGATCTATGAAAACTTGAAAATCTTGAAAATAGATGGTCCAAAAATACATTACAAAATACACTATTTCCAAAACTTGAAATCTATTTTTTTTTCATGTTTATGTATCTTGATGTCGAGATGATTAATTTGAGGATATTTGAGGATCAAAACAACCTCTTCTAGTGAAATTTTAGAGGTAGGCTCAAATTTGATTGTTTAGAGCCTTAGCTCTATATGAACCTTTCACAATAATATAACACTCCCTACCGCGATCTTTGGAAACTACTTAAAACTAAAACTTCACATCACACACGCATTTGCAGCCAAAAGATCCCAAACTGCAAAAAATCAAGGTCATGTTTCTTCCTAATTCTCCCTTGGTTTGATTTTGAAAATTGAAAGCGTTCATACTCAAATGTGCAGTTTGCAGTGTTACTCCAACACTTCATATTTCTTTAGTTCAATCGTGTCAATGCTAAGACATCCCCTAACACTTATCCGTGCTGGTCGAGTGACATCAATGTTTTTTTAGTACCATGTCAATGCTTCACTTGGTTTTGGTTAGGATTTAAACCTTGGACTGCTTAAATATGAATAGCTCACTATCACTCCATCTAAGAAGTAGCTTTAAATGAGCATAATCGTACAATACAATATATATACAAATAACATTATCTTCTTCAATAAAACATTGAGATATCATGGCTCCTAAATGTGATGCCTACCTCTTCCACTTTGCCACTAAGCATAGATGTATTTAATATGTAGGAAATTGTGATTGTCTTATTTAGTGGTATTTATACGGACATGTCAGGGAAGTACTAGGTTTTTTGCCCCACATACTGGACACCCAAGTACCTAATAAATTTTTTTTTAATGTTATCAAATTTTTATTACCAACTAAACCATGATTACAACTCTCAGCATTCACATCACTTAGTATTTACATCATTCAAAATCGAAATGGAATCCTCTTTTAGTTAATCCATCAGCAATACCATTAGATTCTCTAAACATATGCTAGAAGGATAGCAATAATACTCCTTCTAAGTCCAAAACTTGGCCCCAAATCGATCGCAACATCCAAGCAACACGAAGTTCCTTGTTGCACCACTTTATCACATTTAAAGAATCACCTTCCACAACAATGAAATGGCCCAAATTCATGGCTTTAATAAACATGAATCCTTTAAGCAACGCTGCGAATTCTGCCATGTTAGCCATTGCCCACCCAATAGGTCCAGCATAAGAGAGAATAATTGACCCAGTCCAATCTCGCACTACACCTCCAACCCCTACATTCCT